CAAGCAGATTTGGCATCATAAGTTTATTTAGGTATACACAAATAAAGTTACATAGATTATCATACATAGCAGCATATGTTTGGAGAACCTAGGATAACCAAAAAAAGTCAGAGACTTATTTCCATTAGGGTCCCTGTACCCTGTACCATATGGTACAATGTACCATATGGTATAATATACCATATGGTACAATGTACTATATAGTACATTATACCATATGGTACCATTGTATGACATGGCACCATTGTACCATATGGTACTACTGTACCATATGGCTCAAAACCATAGAATTTCTCTTCAGATCCACTTCCATCAGTCTTAGAACTGTAAGTTGTGAAGAGGAGAGTCAGAAATCGAGTTAGAGCTACCTTGCCTCCAGGCATGATGAACAAAGCTACTTTGGCCGCATTCCCATAATGCCATGCAGGCGTCCAGATTTCTTCTATAGTGCGCACACTGACCACCCAGACCCATTCTCTCAGATGTAGGCCTACCAGCCTTCTTGTGGTAAATTTGACGCCGCTAGAATTTTGGCGTAGAAGTATGGTTTGGACCCTCAATGTAAAGCCGTAGATCTACGGCACAGACCCTGAAAGGGTTAAAATAAATTCATATGGTAAAATTATTATTCATTCCAGGACATGAAACACCTTTTGCCTTCTTTTTTTTTTTTTTTTTTTCAACAAGTCGGCTGTCTCCCACCGAGGCAGGGTGACCCCAAAAAAAGAAAGAAAATCCCCAAAAAGAAAATACTTTCATCATCATTCAACACTTTCACCACACTCGCACATTATCACTGTTTTCGCAGAGGTGCTCAGAATACAACAGTTTAGAAGCATACACGTATAAAGATACACAACATATCCCTCCAAACTGCCAATATCCCAAACCCCTCCTTTAAAGTGCAGGCATTGTACTTTCCATTTCCAGGACTCGAGTCCGACTATATGAAAATAACCGGTTTCCCTGAATTTTTTTTTTTTTTTTTTTTTTTTTTTCAACAAGTCGGCCGTCTCCCACCGAGGCAGGGTGACCCAAAAAAGAAAGAAAATCCCCAAAAAGAAAATACTTTCATCATCATTCAACACTTTCACCACACTCGCACATTATCACTGTTTTTGCAGAGGTGCTCAGAATACAACAGTCTAGAAGCTTAAACATATAAAGATACACAACATATCCCTCCAAACTGCCAATATCCCAAACCCCTCCTTTAAAGTGCAGGCATTGTACTTCCCATTTCCAGGGACTCAAGTCCGACTATATGAAAATAACGGTTTCCCTGAATCCCTTCACTAAATATTACCCTGCTCACACTCCAACAGATTCGTCAGGTCCAAGTACCATTCGTCTCCATCTCACTCCTATCTAACACGCTCACGCACGCTTGCTGGAAGTCCAAGCCCTTACCCACAAAACCTCCTTTACCCCTCTCTCCAACCCTTTCGAGGACGACCCCTACCCCGCCTTCCTTCCCTATAGATTTATATGCTTTCCATGTCATTCTATTGTGATCCATTCTCTCTAAATGACCAAACCACCTCAAAAACCCCCTCTTCTGCCCTCTGACTAATACTTTTATTAACTCCACACCTTCTCCTAATTTCCACACTCCGAATTTTCTGCATAATATTTACACCACACATTGCCCTTAAACAGGACATCTCCGCTGCCTCCAACCGTCTCCTCGCTGCTGCATTTACCACCCAAGCTTCACACCCATATAAGAGTGTTGGTACTACTATACTTTCATACATTCCTTCTTTGCCTCCATAGATAACGTTTTTTGACTCCACATATACCTCAACGCACCACTCACCTTTTTTCCCTCATCAATTCTATGATTAACCTCATCCTTCATAAATCCATCCGCCGACATGTCAACTCCCAAGTATCTGAAAACATTCACTTCTTCCATACTCCTCCTCCCCAATTTGATATCCAATTTTTCTTTATCTAAATCATTTGACACCCTCATCACCTTACTCTTTTCTATGTTCACTTTCAACTTTCTACCTTTACACACTTTCCCCAAACTCATCCACTAACCTTTGCAATTTTTCTTTAGAATCTCCCATAAGCACAGTATCATCAGCAAAAAGTAACTTTTCAATTCCCATTTTGAATTTGATTCCCCAAAATTTAATCCCACCCCTCTCCCGAACACCCTAGCATTTATTTCCCTTTAAAACCCCATCTATAAAATATATTAAACAACCATGGTGACATTACACATCCTGTCTAAGACCTACTTTTACCGGGAAGTAGTCTCCCTCTCTTCTACACACCCAAACCCTGAGCCTCACTATCCTCATAAAAACTCTTTACAGCATTTTAATAACTTACCACCTATTCCATATACTTGCACATCTGCCACATTGTCCTCTATCCACTCTATCATATGCCTTTTCTAAATCCATAAATACAATAAAAACTTCCCTACCTTTATCTAAATACTGTTCACTATATGCTTCAATGTAACACTTGATCTACACATCCCCTACCCACTCTGAAGCCTCCTGCTCATCCGCAATCCTACATTCTGTCTTACCATACCTCTATTCTTTCAATTAAACCCTTCCGTATACTTTTCCTGGTATACTCAGTAAACTTATTCCTCTATAATTTTTACAATCTCTTTTGTCCCCTTTCCCTTTATATAAAGGGACTATACATGCTCTCCGCCAATCCCTAGGTACCTTCCCCCCTTTCATACATTTATTAAACAAAAGTACCAACCATTCCAACACTATATCCCCCCTGCTTTTAACATTTCTGTCATGATCCATCAGTTTTCCCGCTGCTTTACCCCCTTTCATTTTACGTAATGCCTCACGTACCTCCCCCACACTTACATTCTGCTCTTCTTCACTCCTAAAAGATGGTATACCTCCCTGACCAGTGCATGAAATTACTGCCTCTGTTTCTTCCTTAACATTTAAAAGTTCCTCAAAATATTCTCGCCATCTACCTAATACCTCCATCTCAACCATCTACTAACTCCCCTACTCTGTTTTTAACTGACAAATCCATACTTTCCCTAGGCTTTCTTAACTTGTTTAACTCGCTCCAAATTTTTTTCTTATTTTCATTAAAATTTCTTGACAGTACCTCTCCCACTCTATCATCTGCTCTCCTTTTGCACTCTCTCACCACTCTCTTTACCTTTCTTTTACTCTCCATATACTCTGCTCTTCTTATAACACTTCTGCTTTGTAAAAACCTCTCATAAGCTACCTTTTTCTCTTTTATCACACCCTTGCTTCATCATTCCACCAATCACTCCTCTTTCCTCCTGCCCCCACCCTCCTATAACCACAAACTTCTGCCCCACATTCTAATACTGCATTTTTAAAACTATTCCAACCCTCTTCAACCCCCCCCCTACTCATCTTTGCACTAGCCCACCTTTCTGCCAATAGTCGCTTATATCTCACCCGAACTTCCTCCTCCCTTAGTTTATACACTTTCACCTCCGTCTTACTTGTTGTTGCCACCCTTTCCCCTTTTCCCATCTACCTCTTACTCTAACTGTAGCTACAACTAAATAATGATCCGATATATCAGTTGCCCCTCTATAAACATGTACATCCTGGAGCCTACCCATCAATCTTTTATCCACAATACATAATCTAATAAACTACTTTCATTACGTGCTACATCATACCTTGTATATTTATTTATCCTCTTTTTCATAAAATATGTATTACTTATTACCAAATTTCTTTCTACACATAGCTCAATTAAAGGCTCCCCATTTACATTTACCCCTGGCACCCCAAATTTACCTACTACTCCCTCCATAACATTTTTACCCACTTTAGCATTGAAATCCCCAACCACCATTACTCTCACACTTGATTCAAAACTCCCCACGCATTCACTCAAACATTTCCCAAAATCTCTCTCTCTCCTCTACACTTCTCTCTTCTCCAGGTGCATACACGCTTATTATAACCCACTTTTCACATCCAATCTTTATTTTACTCCACATAATCCTTGAATTAATACATTTGTAGTCCCTCTTTTCCTGCCATAGCTTATCCTTCAACATTATTGCTACTCCTTCTTTAGCTCTAACTCTATTTGAAACCCCTGACCTAATCCCATTTATTCCTCTCCATTGAAACTCTCCCACCCCCTTCAGCTTTGTTTCACTTAAAGCCAGGACATCCAGTTTCTTCTCATTCATAACATCCACAATCATCTCTTTCTTATCATCTGCACAACATCCACGCACATTCAGACTTCCCACTTTGACAATTTTCTTCTTCTTATTCTTTTTAGTAATCTTTACAGGAAAAGGGGTTACTAGCCCATTGTTCCCGGCATTTTAGTTGACTTTTACAACACGCATTTTTGCCTTCTACTTACATTTAATAACAGCAAATTTTTTTTATCACATATACATAATAATATGTGGCAGTTCACTTGCAGTTACTGTTGACAATAATGTTTGTATAGTGCTACATGTAAACTAAAAGCATTAGATTAATGGCATGTATTTTGTTAGGCCTTTTGTCATAATAGATCACACTCACAAAAGTCATTGCAAAACATTTACACAATGTAAAACTTAACACCTTAGTGTATGCAACAAGTATGAAGCAAATGCTGCTCTCAAATTATTACTAATTTAAGATGCTCATTTGCTGCAGTGTGGAAATGTCAGTATTGATTCTCTTAATTATTAGCATTAATGATTTTTTTAAATATATTCAGTATTAAAAACTTTGAGATAGAGAATACCGAAGGTAACAAAACACATGCAATGCATGACATAAACTATTCTAATACCAATAAGAAAAAGAAAGAATAAAATATCAAAGCTTTATTTCAAGATGCTAAATATGACAATACATGTATAACTATGTTTCTAGTAATGTATATAGCTACACTCTACATATTCCTAACTTTTTATAAGTTTAATTTAAACTACGACTGCAAGTCGAGGGCAGAACTTAGGGTAGAGTCGTGGGTAAGCTTAATGTACAAAGTACCTCATAAAATGCAGGTGATACATCTGCAACAGCATAACACAGAGTTCGCAGACCTTCTGCTGCAAATTCTTCCAGATGTCTCACAGTTAAGTCACGAAACTGTTGACTGTCACCCAGACGCTCATATATTACCTGGAAAGTATATTTCTTGGTTATTTACACATTAAACTTTATATATACTGTGGGATAGGAGGGAAAGGAGGAAAGAGAGAGAAAAAGAGAAACAAACAGCAAGAAAGAGAAAGTGAGAGAACTAGCTAGCTTTTTAAAAGTCTTCACACAGCAAAATTACTGTTGTTTATTACAATAATTCATTTAAGAAAAAAATTATTGTAGGCTTTAGATAGGGATGTGTGATGTCATCATGGTTGCTCAATATGTTTATAGACGGGGTTGTAAGAGAAGTGAATGCTCGGGTGTTGGCAAGAGGTGTGGGGTTAAAAGATGAAGAATCTAACACAGAGTTGGAGTTGTCACAGTCGCTCTTTGCCAATGACACTGTGCTTTTTGGGAGATTCTGAAGAGAAGCTGCAGAGGTTGGTGGACAAAAAGAAGGAAATTAAAAGTGAACATAGGAAAAAGTAGGGCGATAAGATAACAAAAAATTTAGGTAATGAAAGACTGGATATCAGATTGGAGGGAGGGAGTATGGAGGGGGTGAATGTATTCAGATATTTAGGAGTGAATGTGTCAACTGATGGGTCTATTAAAGACGAGGTGAATCAGAAAACTGATGAGGGGAAAAAGGTGAGTGGTGCACTGAGAAGTCTGTGGAGACAAAGAACATTATCCATGGAAGCAGAGAGAGGAATGTATGAGAGCATAGTTATACCAACGCTCTTATATGGGTGTGAAGCATGGGTGGTGAATGTTGCAGCAAGGAGAAGGCTGGAGGCAGTGGAGATGTCGTGTCCGAGGGCAATGTGTGGCGAGAATACAATGCAGAGAATCCATAGTTTGGAAATTAGGAAGTGTGGGGTTACTAAAAGTATTATCCAGAGGGCTGAGGAGGGGTTGTTGAAGTGGTTCAGATATTTAGAGAGGTTGGAATGAAATAGAATGACTTGGAGAGTGTCTAAATCTTTAGTTGAAGGAAGTTGGGGTAAGTGGTCAGCCTAGGAAGGATTGGAAGGAGGGGGTAAAGGAGGTTTTGTGTGCAAGGGGCTTGGACTTCCAGCAAGCATGCATGAGTGTGTTAGATAGGAGTGGAGACAAATGGTTTTTAGGATTTGACATACTGTTGGAGTGTGAGCAAGGTAACATTAATGAAGGGATTCAGAAAACTGGCAGGCTGGACTTGAGTCCTGGAAGAAGGAAATACAGTGCCTGCACCCTGAAGGAGCGGTGTTAATGTTGCAGTTTTATAACTGTAGTGTAAGTGCACCTCTGCAAAACAGTGATGGAGTGAATGATGATAAAAATCTTTCTTTTTCAGGCCACCCTGCCTTGGTGGGAAATGGCCAATGTGTTAATAAAAAAAAATAATTCAATCAATGCAACAAGAAAAGGGCAAGTGATATTAGATGATCATGCTTGAAGTACAGTGGTACCTTGAGTTATGAACCTAATTTGTTCCAGAAGGCTGCTCAAGTGCCGATACCAAACGAATTTGTTTCCATAAGGAATAATGTAAATCAGAGTAGTCCGTTTTAGACCCCCAAAAATACATTTACAAAAGCACTTACAAAAATACACTTACACAATTGTTCAAGTTGGGAGCTGTTCGAAACTCGAGGTACCACTGTATATTAGAAGCATAGATGGTATAATTAGCCAGGACTAACTAGCCTTTGATAATATGACTGATAACACTAATTCAGCAACATGTGACTGAAACAGTGCATCCATAAATTGATTTACACTTTAAACTCCCCCATGCATGCACTCTAATTGTGATGTACTCATGAGTGACGAGTGAAACAGGGTGGCCATGCAGAGCAAACACATTTTTATTAGTAAAGGCCCAGTTTGCTTTTAAAGCAATTTTTGGATATTATCAAGACCCCATTCTGTCTCTAGATATTAACTATGAGTTCCCTTCATACATATTAACCCAAAAGTAGTGTTAGTGATGCAGATCCCAAGAAGAAAATTAAATGTGAAACTCCTACAGTTTCTCAGAAAACAGAGGTGTTATATATGCTTCAGAGTGGAAGAAATCACAATAAAATGTGTGATTGCAAATATGAAAGAAAATACCAGTGAAAATAGGAAATAAAACCTGAGTACTTTCATGTGCTTACACACACACACATGTCTTCTGAGGAACAGGAAGATGTGTATGTAAGCACATGAAAGTGCTCAGGTTTTATTTCCAATTTTCACCGTTGTATTTTTTTCATGCTTCAAGAGGTGTAATGAAGGTTGGAAGCTGTACATGAATGCTATTAACCCTTAAACTGTCCAAATGTAGATCTACATTCACTCGTGTGGTGCTACGAATATTTTTGAAAAAAAAAAAAAAAAAAATTTAAAATGAAGAGCACATTTTTCTACATGTTATAGGATTAAAAAAACAATGTTAGGGTCAGTACTTACCGAGATATAAGACCGTGAAGATGGCTCTGGATGCTCACCTGTCGGCAACATCGACTCCTGCCACTTGCAGAAGTGTTGCCGATATACCTTTTTTTCTCGTGTTTATTTTAATTTATATATTTTTTATGTTCTCATAATTACAATTTATAATAGTTCTTGTAATTTCATAGCCAGTCTTTGTTCTGACACTAATATTAGGCACCAAAATAGTGCTCAAATAGTCACAATCACATTGACAAGTGAACATTTACATCTGCCTATTGTCTAGAAATATATACAGAGTATTTATAGGTCCCAGCAATGTTTTAGATACCCTGGCATATACCTTGAAGCATGGTGTTATGAAAGGCATCCTTATACTGTTGACAGCCTAGTGACATTTGATAAATGCCCACTGCTCCAGCTAACCCTCGCTGTATTTGTTATCACTGTTACACACAAACATGTCTTGTCTGTCTATTTATCTAACTATCTGTTTATCTGCCTGTCTATCTGTCTCTGTCTGTCTATTTGCCTGCCTGTATGTCTCTGTTTATCTGTCTTTCTGTCTGCCTGGAGTATATGTATATCGCACTCCTTGAAGAATTGTGTTATGACATCTGTGATCAACTATTTGATAAATGGGTTCTCTGGGAACCCTGGCTTTATTTGCTGACACTGATACACACAAACATGTTTCTGTCTATCTATCTATCTGTCTGTCTATCTTTGCCTGGAATTTTTGGGATATCCTAGGTAATTTACACAATGTATAATAACTGAGTATACCAGGAAAAGTATACGGTAGGGTTATAATTGAAAGAATTAGAGGTAAGACAGAATGTAGAATTGCGGACGAGCAAGGAGGCTTCAGAGTGGGTAGGGGATGTGTAGATCAAGTGTTTACATTGAAGCATATATGTGAACAGTATTTAGATAAAGGTAGGGAAGTTTTTATTGCATTTATGGATTTAGAAAAGGCATATGATAGAGTGGATAGAGGAGCAATGTGGCAGATGTTGCAAGTATATGGAATAGGTGGTAAGTTACTAAATGCTGTAAAGAGCTTTTATGAGGATAGTGAGGCTCAGGTTAGGGTGTGTAGAAGAGAGGGAGAATACTTCCCGGTACAAGTAGGTCTTAGACAGGGATGTGTAATGTCACCATGGTTGTTTAATATATTTATAGATGGGGTTGTAAAAGAAGTAAATGCTAGGGTGTTCGGGAGAGGGGTGGGATTAAATTTTGGGGAATCAAATTCAAAATGGGAATTGACACAGTTACTTTTTGCTGATGATACTGTGCTTATGGGAGATTCTAAAGAAAAACTGCAAAGGTTAGTGGATGAGTTTGAGAATGTGTGTAAAGGTAGAAAGTTGAAAGTGAACATAGAAAAGAGTAAGGTGATGAGGGTATCAAATGATTTAGATAAAGAAAAATTGGATATCAAATTGGGGAGGAGGAGTATGGAAGAAGTGAATGTTTTCAGATACTTGGGAGTAGACGTGTCGGCGGATGGATTTATGAAGGATGAGGTTAATCATAGAATTGATGAGGGAAAAAAGGTGAGTGGTGCGTTGAGGTATATGTGGAGTCAAAAAAACGTTATCTATGGAGGCAAAGAAGGGAATGTATGAAAGTATAGTAGTACCAACACTCTTATATGGATGTGAAGCTTGGGTGGTAAATGCAGCAGCGAGGAGACGGTTGGAGGCAGTGGAGATGTCCTGTCTAAGGGCAATGTGTGGTGTAAATATTATGCAGAAAATTCGGAGTGTGGAAATTAGGAGAAGGTGTGGAGTTAATAAAAGCATTAGTCAGAGGGCAGAAGAGGGGTTGTTGAGGTGGTTTGGTCATTTAGAGAGAATGGATCAAAGTAGAATGACAGGGAGAGCATTTAAATTTGTAGGAGAAGGAAGGAGGGGTAGGGGTCGTCCTCGAAAGGTTGGAAGGAAGGGGTAAGGGAGGTTTTGTGGGCGAGAGGCTTGGACTTCCAGCAGGCGTGCATGAGCGTGTTCGATAAGAGTGAATGGAGACGAATGGTATTTGGGACCTGACGATCTGTTGGAGTGTGAGCAGGGTAATATTTAGTGAAGGGATTCAGGGAAACCGGTTATTTTTACATAGCCGGACTTGAGTCCTGGAAATGGGAAGTACAATGCCTGCACTTTAAAGGAGGGGTTTGGGATATTGGCAGTTTGGAGGGATATGTTGTGTATCTCTATACGTATATGCTTCTAAACTGTTGTATTCTGAGCACCTCTGTAAAAGCAGTGATAATGTGTGAGTGTGGTGAAAGTGTTGAATGATGATGAAAGTATTTTCTTTTTGGGGATTTTCTTTCTTTTTTTTGGGTCACCCTGCCTCGGTGGGAGACGACCGACTTGTTGAAAAAAAAAAAAAAAAAAAATAATAACTGTATTTAAGTGTCCATGTGAGACAGAGATATAGATAGACAGAGATATAGAAAGACAGATATACAGAGAGACAGAGATATAGACAGACAGAGATATAGACAGATAGATATATAGACAGAGAAACAGCCAGAGACAGCCAAAAAAAGCCAGCCGGCCAGCCTGCCAAATACATAAGAACATAAGAAAGAACACTGCAGC